TTTTTTTTTTTACCCCCTTTCCCCTCCCCCCTTTTTTTCCTTTCTTCGATTCGTTGATAGGTCAACGATAGGTGCGTTCGATGTTTCGTGCGACAGTTTCGAGCGCGTTACAAAAATAAATTGCAATTGTTTGTGCGGGTTCGATACGTCTCGACATCAAGATCGCTTTGAAAAAATAGACTTCGGTCCGACCGGCGAGAAATCTTCGACAAAAATACACTCTCCTCGTTTGTAAAAAACTTCAAGATACGAGAAAATGTACGAAAGCTAGAGCCTGGTAACGGCTAGTATAACGCTAACAGTAATTTCGGTGATTATTGGAAGGTTAGATATGTTGGTACATCGAATACGAGTAGATAGTACATACGGTATCATAGGATACTACATCGTTTTGATTTGTCAACAGCTCGTTAGGTTACATTCGTCTCGAGATGTATCGTCTCGCCTCTTCAATTCGAACGACGATACGATCTTGGTCTCAATCTCTCGAGAGTTCAATCCGCTGAACATCTTTGCAAACATTTATGCGGAAATGGGCAATCACTCGTGTCAACAGTGCCGCGCGTACGTCTTCCGTTTCTTCAGTTCACAGGTTTCGCCGCGACGAAAACGAATTGGCACCAAAACGACCAAGTCTCGCGCTTCTTCATCACGCCTTGAACAACGAGTGTTTAAATAACGAACGTGAAACGTAACGAACCGAGTAGAAGAGAAAAAGTTAATGATGGAAAACGAAATTGGTTCGTCGTAGCGTGAAATTAACGAAGTCGCGTTACTAACGAACGACATATTGCCTAAAGAAGAAAGGTATCTGCTCAGAGATGCGAGCTTAAATGGAAAACAAAAACGTTTTCGCGCGGAATGAAGAGGAAAGAGATCAACGATTCACTTCACTTGCTGACGAGGAGGAGTCGGACCGGCAGGTGGTAACGTCAGGGAGTCCCTTTTCTTTCTGCTGACGCGACGTCCAACGTGCAGAACCACGTCCCCAGCTTTCACGGACTTGAACTCGGCGATTGCCTCGGCGTGCGTCATACCGTGAAGGGGTTTCGAATTTATCGACAAAATTTCGTCCCCTGTAATTCCGTGCAAGGTGAGTTAATATATCAATAACAATCAGACCGAGACGTCTGCAGAGTCTCGTGACGAATTAACAACGAATTAACATATCGTACCTTCTCTGACGGTACCAAGATCGGCCGCCTGGCCGTTAGAGAAGACCGTCTTCACGTAAATTCCCATGTTTCCTCGGGGACTGTCTGTACCGCCGACGATACTGAAACCGAGTCCTTTGTGCCCAGGACCCTTTAGAAATCTGGCTGTCAGTATCGTGAATGACGCGCCACCCTTGCCCGGCCTTGGTAGGGTGCAGAATCTCGACTCTTCACCCTCGCCGGCTTCGTCGATGTCTTCGAGTTCGGAGTCGGTATTCAGGCCTTCGTCTGTGTCTTGCGTACCCTGATTGCGTTGAAGAGAAACAACGAAAAAAAAGGAAACAATAAGAAAAGAGAAAGGCAAAGAATGTCTCGTCTCGTTTCTTCACTCACTTGCCACGTCTTCAAGCCGGAACCGGAGGAACTAGGAATATTGGCGACGCTCCTGCTGTTCATTCGTCTGGTCGTCTTCTTGCCAGGACTCCTTTCAGCCCCCAAGCTGGACGGTCCGTCTTCTTTGTTCGCGCACGGCGAGCCAGACCCGTTTGAGTAACTGTTCACCTGTCCGCCGACTTTGAAATCGGTCACCCTCTTTCTCGGCGTCACCCTCGGTATGTGAATCTCCTCGAACGACGAGTCGGACTGATTCCTCGGCTTCGAGTTCTTTTGGAAGTGGACGTTCTCGTACGAGTGATGATCCCTCGTCTCCGAGTTGCTTCTCGCCAGATGCCTGTCGGAATGTGGGGTGACAGACGGCGTCAGCTCCGATCTGTGCTGCCCACGCTGGAAACGCACGTTCTCGTACGAGTGGTCCTGATGTCGGGCAGCGTCGCGGTTCTCGGAATTGCTGCGCTGTAACACGCCCCTGGACCTCGAGCAACAGCCTGGAGACGAGGAACTGGCGTACAAAACGTTCTCGTACGCGTCCTTCTGGCTGTGATCGTGATTCAGCACCGGCGAGTCGTACGTGCTGCTGCTTCGCGAGTACGTGAACGTCTTGTTGCTGTTGCTGGTCAGCGGGCTGTTGCTGCAGTTCGGCGAATTCGGCACGCTGCCCTCTGCCAGCGTCTCGAGATTGTCGTGGAACGGATATGGCGGGAGGGAAGTCGGCTCGCCGGAGTCGTATTCCCCGTCGAACTTTTGACTACTCGAGGAGGTCAAGGGACTGGGAACGTAGAAATTCGACGCGTTGTCCTTCTGCGAGAACACCTCGGTCACGCTCAGTGCCTTCCTCTTTCGGATGCCAGCGTTTATCTTGCTGAATTTGCTTCGTAATACGTGCTGGATGTCGGCGATACCCTTGGTGGTGCCTGAACAATGGTTCAAATCGTCGCTTGTTACGCGTGAATGTTCTCAATATGTTGTCGTGTAATGTAAATAGAGAGCGTAGTATAATTACCTGGCAATCTCAAGGAGCTGGTTTGCAACAATTTCTTCGGTGAGCTGCCGTCCTGAAGGCTCTTTGCAGCAGGCGAGGACTCCCTGCTGGCCGAACTGGACCTTGTCGGTTGAATAACCCCCTGGGTCGTGCCACCTTGTATAAGAGTTTCCTGAGGTTCCGAGGTCTCCTGAACGGAACACCTCCTCCTCAGCTTCCTCCATCGTTGACTGATGCTCTTGTTCCATAGATTCAAGTCTGTAATACAGCAGCGAGAAAATTTCGCATGACTACCGGTCGTCAGGATGCGCTTGTCACGCGACGAGCTGCTGCACCGAGGCTCGTTAAGGGAACATGACGGCCAAAAATTGCCGCGAAAAAGAGAGAGAAGAGACTCCGACTTTCTTAATCACGGAGTTAACGACAGGAAACACTTATCTGTGCCATGTACAACCTGTTGTTATTCACCGACGATAAATTTCGGATCTCGATGGAAGAAAAAGAATGGGAAGATCGACGGAAAGATTGAAGAAAATTGTATCGGCGATGATAACCGTTATCGTGAGAAACGATCGTTCACTATAAAATAGCAACGATGATATCGCGTCGATATTGGATCTACGTTCCAAAACACGCTTCCGAGTGGTTGGAACGCAGAAAACTGGCAAACTTGCTCGATATTACAATTCAATATAGTCTCCATGTTGTCGTTGTTGTTGGATCCACGTGCGACTGCGAAACACCGATCGAATTCTGTTCTTCCTTTTCACCGATCCCTCGAAGGGTCATGCCCCTTCGACTTCCTCTTCCTCCTCTTGCGATGGTGGCTTCGACGACCTTGGCGGAGGCACGCGCATAACCAACGCCAGTCGGTTTTTCTTCAGTTACGGAGGAAAGTCACGAAGTCATGAATAATTAATGGAGATCGATGAAGTGCATGATCGTGAGGTCACCGAGGTACGTAAGCGTAACGCTAATTCGACTAATCACGTTTGCAACTGCCCGTCGTTTTCTCTGCGCTTGAGGACGCGGATCCATGCTGATGAAGCGCAACGTGTCACGAGGACAACAACGCTGAGAATAGCGACAAGGACGACAACAACGGGGACAACGACGACGACGACGACCAAGAGACTGAAGAGACGAACGCAGCGCCGTTGCCCTCGGCGATCGTTGCTGACACACTGGGGCGTCGGTGGCGGCTGCACTCTCCATTATCCGCAGTTACAGTCATCTTACAAAATGCACTTTCACTTGTCGACGTATCTGCGGATGCGCCCGGTTTCGCGAGGCCTTTTTCGTTCCGCACCGAACGCCGGACGTTCCGCCTCGCGCCGTTGTGTTTCCCCCATAGATTACACACGAGCATCCACGGAATCTCTTCGCGAACAAAAACTCGTCGCGAGCGAGGACAAGATCACTCAACAAGCGTTCTAACGTTCCACGCGTGTTCGCGTGTGCGGATGAAATACATACACACCCAAAATCGACGTATTGACAATGAAACTCGCGTTGATCGATGTTCGAACCTTCCCTCGTTCGAATGTTTCACGTTCCGCTGGTCGCTCGATTCAGCTAGCCGAGACGCGCGTAACTAGCGCGCGCTGTCGGAATTCGAATTTCTCACGTTCACGCTGACGATGTTCGCCGCGGCTGAAATAACGGGAATCGGCGTTCATCGTCGGTCTCGTTGTCGCGGAACGTCCCGCGGGATCGATTACATTTACGCAGAAATGCCTGCGGCGTTAATGAAAATTTGCGAGCTCCATGCAAATCAGTATCGATTTCACTGAAAACTGGGTTCCCACCTTCGAGCAGCTCGACCGAAAAGGTATCGAGGAGGCACGTTTCGCAATCGTTCGACGCTCGTTCGCGATAAGGCCGATCCATCGACCGAAAGGCACATTTCCGTTTCGCGCGTTTCGACACGGCAGACCTTGTCGCCTTCCCCGTTCGCGTTTTCACCTTCACAGCATGAACTTTGACAGCTTGCAATCATCCGGGTGCACGAACATTTGCAACTCGAGGCGCAGCAGCTCGGCGTAGAAGTAACAGAATCCAAGAATGAACGCGAGCATGCTATCGTCGGGATGATCGACAGGCCGGCGTAAAGAGAGAGAGAGAGAGAGAAAGGGAATTGGGAAGTGAGAAACGAGAGCCGCGAAACGAGAAAACTCGAACGGAAACGACGCTCGAGGAACGACCAGGATTTCGAAAACCGCAGGAGTCCACACCGTACGCGGTCTCGACATGAACTGAAAGACTGGAGGTTTACGGTTAGCCGTGTGCGTAAGGCATTACGTGCGTGTGCGTAACAGACTGTGTACACGTGTGTAGCTTGGTACCTGTGCATACAGGGTGACGCGAAAGAAAGTATCGAGCGCGTTTCCCAACCCCTCCGCGGGTTTTCGTGACGAGGAATTCTTAGCATAACTCCGCGATGACTCCGCGGAGGAATTCCTTGTTCCCCTCGATACGATTTCACGTGACAGACTGACCGCGTCTGCGATCCCTACTCACGATTCTTCTACCTCGAATGTCCGACTCCGATTACGACGAGACGGCGTAGTTGCGCCGTTGTTTGCCCGATGACAATTGAACGGAGGAATATCTTTCGGCTTTAATACGACGATTTAATAAAACGTTCGTTTCCCGCAAAGCCACGCGGTACACATTCACCGGTATCCGCAAAGTGAACGCGCAACGACCGAGACCCAAGGTTACTTCATTTTATTTCATATTTCACGCATTCTCGTTTAATCGCGCCTAGTATCCCGCTCGTTTCCCGAGCCGGCGGCCCGCGCTATTTAATTAAACCGTTCGCGAGCGAAAAATCAAGAGAGCCCGGGAACACTTTTTCCGTTCACCGTGTATGCCGCCCGTTCGTAGTCCAATTGTGTACTGATTGTGGGAACGCTCGGTCGAGTGTTAGTGAACGGTTTCTCTGTTGCAGGCGCGCACGACACACGACGAGAGGCAGCCCTGTGTTTCACGACCCGTGTTGCGCGCACGAGGGTAAAACGAGCGTGTGTGTAACCTATTAATGTGCATCACGGCTGCCTGCACACCCTACGTACAATTCTACACGCGCGCCTCATGGCCACGCTGGATTGCATTATTTTCTACAATAATGCCAATGTACGTTCTTTTGTCGAGGGGGTTCTCGCCGGGGAGGCGAGGACGGACACGCGCGTGGCCACAGAGACACGACTGTCCAGTGGCGTTCACGGGGTTCAATAATCTGCGTTCGCGAATTTCGTAAATTTCAGTTTCCCGGTGAACGGTGAGCAAGCGATTCTTCCGTTTCCCTCGGGCGTGAAAGTGCACGAGATGCACGAGCCGAGTCGATTTCGTAACGTTGCCGATCGACAAATTCGGCCGATCACACACGTGTACATATACGCCGAAGCGAGCGGTGAACGCTCGAGTTTCAAGGTTTCGAGTACTCGCGAGTTTGCAAGGACCGTGTTAAAACAATGGATGGACGGCGTAGCATCCATTGGCTCGAGTTGACCTACATTCTGTTCGTACCTTTCCATCTGCGAGACGAACGAGATGCGATAGATGAAACGCGATAAATGCGTGAAAACTCGCAATCAGTCACGCCGTGGGAAAAGATATGTGACAGAGAGTGCGGCTGAACTGCGAAATAATTGGATTTAAAGATTTTACGATTGTTGGAAATTGTATGTTCTTAAGGACGAAAAATTGAAAACGTACGCGTGGCTGATAAACTGAGTTCGAGATATGAAAATCGTGTGGATCATTAGATTTTGATTAATTCATAATTGGTTGAAGGCAACAGCAATCTTGATTTTCGTACGACGCGTCGCGCCGCAATTTATATGTAAATCGTGAGTTCGGGGTCAGATCATTTCTTATCAAATATCCATGGGAGATTTTGCAACGTGAATATAGTGATTCAGCTAATCACACCATTGTCAGTTATCTTCTTTACATCTCACCATCCCGAACGAAATTTCAACAAATAAAATTCCGATCGGTTATCTTTGCAAACATCGTGAAATAACTCCTAGTAGACAACTATGTGTATTTTCAACCATTCCGTTTCATAGTATTGAAGATTTAATAGAATAACTGAATCTCTGAAAACTTTCTGAACATGAGAACATTTAAATTATTCTAACGCGATGCGCAGAACGACAGTGTCGCAAGTCTCTTCATTATTTTTGAAGTAGCCGCGCTTTATTTCAGGACAGATCTCGTTTGCATAATTCTCTCTAGAAATATTCCCAATATGTAACGTCCGTTGCTCCGCGCGGACGTAAAATATATTAGACGTACAGCGCGAATACGCGTGCTTATCTATTTCAAGCTACACTTGTAAGAAACGGCATGTGCGTGAGGTCAAGTTGAGTGAATATTTCTCCCATTGCTCATTGTGCCTCGGTGCCTTCTAGACTGTCGCTGTCGTTACCTTACAGTATTTTGAATAGGCGCACAGAAAACGAGTTTTTGGCGTCGCTGGTTTGCATGAAATTACATAAAAGAGAACAATGCATGCTAAAAAAGAAAAAAAAGAAAACAGTGTATTCTGACGACTGGAAGTGAATCGGCAAAATGCAAATGTCCCTAGCGTTCTGCGACGTTTCATTACTGAACTTTCGCGTGAATGTCTTTATCTTCTGTATCGTCGGATCGTTGAGAAATTCCAATTACTCGCGTTTCCTATCTTTTTTCACAACTGGCAATAGATAAATACTCGAAAATGACGAGATAACATTGGTTCAAAGCCACGAGTGAACACGGTATCTCGTTTGAGTCGATTTAACATCTAATTTGACATATGAGATCTGTCCGTGTTACGATCATAAGAAGTTAGATAGAAAAGTAATGAATGAACTAACGACTAAGAAAGGAGAAAAGAAAGATCTGTTTAGTACAGATTGGCACTTGATGAAGATATCTTGTCGATCTTACAAATCACCGATCGTCACGATAGTGATTCGGTTCAGGCAAAATAGCAAGGCGAGATCGCAAACATTCTTCTCGCGCACGTCACGCAGAACGGAGTGGCTCGACGAAGTTTATTCAAAGAAATGGACGCGTATGGAACGACAGGGAAGGCCAGGAGAAAGGTGAAGAAAGGGGCGAGGGAGAGGGACAACGTTGAAAGACAGAAGAAAGACACGAGCGAAAATAAACGTGGAAAATAGACAGTAAAACCGTGGAGGGAAAGAGAGGTGCCCAAGTCGCAGTTGGAAACGCGTAGCTTAGTGCCTGCGAGGAATGCGTAAACGGTAGAACCGTTCTGTGAACGAAGAGAGAAGGAGAATGCGCTTGGAACTCAACTGCGTTCGAGAGGCATCGACGAAAAATATCGAACGTCTTGCCTCTTGAGCAGATTTTTT